AAACAAAGTATATTTTAAGTAATATAATAAATACACAATAAATAAAAAAAAGCCCTGAACAATCAAGCTGGATCGTTAGTACTTAAATAATTCGGTGTGAATTTAGAAACTATATATCTCCAATACTGCAAACTGTGCGTCAAATTTAATTTTCAGTCTTGAAACGAATCTTAATAGAACTAGAGTAGTAATGTCACAAATTAAATGAATAACAAGTAATTTATATAATAATATTGATGCTTACAAATATCTCTTAAAAAGATTGTAACAATCTGGTTCTGATAAGTCTAAAACCTATAAATTATTTTATTGTATTAATAAAAAATATTACTTCAATCGGAGTTCGAACTCGGATCTCCTTATTTAATATATATAGCTTATCGAAAAAAAAGACAGATAGATTTAAAGATTTGTTGCGTGCTTCTTCAATCAATCTGAAGTTGATTTTTCCTTAAAACACTTACTCACACACACACACACACACACACACACACACACACACACACACACACACACACACACACACACACACACGCACGCACGCACGCATACACGCACGCACGCACGCACGCATACACAAAGATATTAAAAATATTTAAAGTGTAGAAGCTATTGATAATCATATATATGATTATTATATATAATTAACTTGATGATAATTAATAGCTTAAAATGCAGTCTTTATTGTATGCACAGAGATGGATGGTTATAATTTAAAATGATGATAACATTTAATAATTTAAAACGCAGTCTTTATTATATTTATAGATATGGATTATAATTTATTCGAAATATATTTACACATAATTAGGCAGCGAACAAAATCGTTCATTACAAGTCTTGTCTCACACGGTTATAATCGAAAATAGGCTCTTCAATTGAATATTGGCTATTCGCGTCATAAACGGAAAATATCGAAAATCTCTCCTAATTCAAACATAACTCTCGCGAACTTTCTACTTGACTCCTTCGTAGCTTATTACGAACTGCTCCGTTAGTCCGAAATTCACTACGGAATTCATTACGCATTCTCAGACACCGTGCAAACGCCCTCAGACACAATCATAATAGACCGACATAACTATTGTCATCTAGTCTATCTTCAATTGATTCTCTTATTCTTTTATTCTCACATAAAGATATTAAAGGAAATCATTTATAAATGTAATTTGTTGCATTTCATATGTGTTTTTGTGATAATTCATTTTGTACTCAACTTATTCAAATAGATAGAATTCAAAATCATTTAGAAATGAATTATTTTTTTAGATAAGATTATTTATATATAATATATGTGCACGCGCGCGCGCGTGTGTGTGTGTGTGTGTGTGTGTATGCAGAGTTGGCAAATAACGCGTTATTCATCATAACATCGGTAATTTTTGGTAATTGAATAATAACGTTTTATTTTCTTCAGAATAACGTTTATGGTAATGCAGTTACATTTTTGAGATAATGGTAATGATTTCAATAATTACTTTTTATTGTTCTATTAACAAAAAATAAAAAAAAATCAAGGCGAATGAGAGTTAGCATGGAAATTAATATCTTAAATCTTTATTCCCAAAAACAGAAAATAGTACGTTTCAATTCACTTTGGCACATTCTCAGCAATACAATTTCAAAATATAAATCCTTTTACGTCTAAGAAAAAATCATCATCAAATTAACAACAAATTTAATGTTGTAGTCCCAAACATAGAATAAATCGTGTTGACATTGGATTAAAACGGATTAAAATTTATAATTACTAAAGAATATTAAAAAACATGTTGATAGCAGCTCGAACGAAACTTGACTTTATTTCTATTTATGTAAAAAAGTTTTAATTGCAACTAGAGCGTATACACACACACACACACACACACACACACACACACACACACACACACACACACACACACACACACACACACACACACACACATGTGTATACACATATATATAGTGAGTACAAAAAGTATTCGTACACAGAAAATATTTTTTAAAAAAACTTTATTTTAAAAAATTAAATATTATCCAGTGAGAAATAAGTCATTGAATTGATGTCGAATCGACATCAATACGATGACTTCAACATCAATTTGTCGATTCGTCGTTTAATTGATGATTCTTGCTGGGTAATTAATTTGTTAAAGAATAAAATAGACTGTATGTTTCTAAAATTATATATACCAAAAAGATGTGCATTATTATAGAAATTATAGAAATTATAGAATATATCATCTGAAAAATAAGCGAAAGTTAAAAATTCCATTATTTGGATGCTCAAAAAGTATTCATACAATCGAGAAATTTAGATTTTAATCAAAAATACATACGAAACTCATTTGTTTATGTTAGAATAGAATGTATTCATTGCATAAAATTACTAATTAATGTTCATTTTCTGCAAATAAGACTTTTTTATAAAAAATTTCCTTACACGAATACTTTTTGCTCTCACTATATGTGTATATA